TTTTCTGCTGAGAGCAGGGTGGCTTCTCAAGCTGGTCAGAAAATGACTTGCAGGAAGGGGAAAGAAGATTGCTTAGGGGTGGGGTTATGGTGGTTAGGGGGTAGGTCTAGGGTGAGGGGTCCTGCACATGGTGTGAACTTCCTACCGGCTCCAAAGGAGGAGCACCCAGGCTTTCTCATCAGCTTCCCCAGATATGGAGGGTTGGGGGAGAGGAAGTAAAAGGAGGGATAGTGTAAAGCTTAAAAGCTATCAGCAGTCAAACATCAAATAGTGGAGTCCAACACTTTATTACCACATGGGTCACCATTATATAATGCAAAACGTCATCCCATTTGTACCTGATATAGTGCTTTGTAGGGAGTTGCAGGAGACCAAGACTATACTGTTCCTGTTTGTTGTGTGTGTGTGGGAAGGGCCATGGCACCCTGTTGACCTTGCGTGTATCCATCATGGGAAACGGCTTGAACTGCCATTTATCAGAGTCACAGCTCTCCGCACGAGAATAGGAGAATGGGAGCCCTAAGGAGCTGCTGGGAGGCCATCTCTCCTGGGCAGTTCACCTGAGACAGTTACTCATCACCTCCAGATTCCGATGAGATGTGGAGCTTCCTGCCCAGGCCCCTCGAGCTGTAGGACATAAAGCTGGCTCCCCAGCAGCAGCATGCTTGTGTGGCAGGCATCTGACCCCTTTTGTGTCGGTGTTGTCCTTTTTTTGGTGTGTGGGAAAAGGATCAGTGGGAACTGGCACCTTTGGCTTGTTCTCACTGTCTTTGTCTCTGACACACTATCCAAATCTAAAAAAGTCTTGTATCTTTACTGTCAACTCTTTACTGTCTTGTATCTTTACTGTCAACTCTTTCTCTCCAATGTGTGAACTTGGCAATCTGTACTGAAACTTGGGCAGAACTCAGTTTCTTTATTTCTTTAGATTTCTAATATTTCAAGGCAGATCTTTGATATTCTATTGGAATGGGTATTTTGTTTTCTTCAATCTTACAGTTTGTGGAAAACTAAAGCTCTTTAGCTTTAGCTTTTCTTTTCTAGGTTTGCCACTATGATTTCAAAATACCTTATTTTAAAAAATAGGCTTTATATTTGTAGAGTAGTTTTAAGTTCACAGCAAAACTGAGTGGAAGGTACAGAGATTTCCCCACTTCTGCCCCATGCATAGCCTCCCCTGTTATCAAATCACCGACCAGAATGGTACATTTTCCAGGACTAAGTGGATGCTAGTTGAAGAGTTCTCCTCAGACAGGAGGGTAGGGGGGGGAAAGCACAAATTTTTAAATAGGAAGCTAACCAGGTACACAGTGTTAACAGTAATCTGGTGATGGGATTTTGGCTAATTTTTATTTTCTGATTAGCGCACAAAACTGCAAAAGTCTTTGTAATCCATGTATGTATTATCATTTTTTCTAATTATAAAGGATTCTACAAAGAAAAGTATATTGAAAATATTAAGGAGCTTTAGACAAAGCACATTTAAAGCTTAAATTGAGCCTAGGGATAATTTATAAGTCTCATATTTTATTACTGAGGCGCCAATCGGAGAATTTGTTTACACAGCTCACAGAACTAATTGGGGGCACGCCCCCTACTGAACTCCTGTGTAAAAACTCTTTAGTATCCCGTAAATGCCAGGCCCCATAGCAAAAGGAGTTTGCGTCAACTGGGCAGAGCCTGTGTAGCTCTGTTTTTTTTTTTTTGTTTTGTTTTGTTTGTTTGTTTGTTTTAATTCCCTACCCTAGGATATGTTTTTATTGATTTGAGAGAGAGAGAGGAAAGGAGAGACACAGAGAGAGAAACATAAATGTAAGAGGGAGTAACATTGATCAGTTGCCTCCCATACGTACCCCAACGAGGGATTGAACCCTTACCTTTTGGTGCATGAGACGACACTCCCACCAGCTGAGCCACCTGGCAGTACACAGCTCTGTTTTTATCAAGTTCCTCAGGTGAATAGGCTGCACAGCAGAGCACAGGCATTGTATCGCACTGCACTGCCTTTCAGAGTGAGCCTCGCCAACCATCAAATTCACTAAATGTTGATTGGATAGCTGGATCTACTCTTTTCTCATGAAAAATGGAAATAGTTTGTGGGCCAAAATTAGGCCTGGTTTTGTATTTGAAAGTTGTAACTATATTGTTTCTTAGATTGATTGATATAAACCACAGTACTTTTCTATAAAAATCTTATTGAATAATCCTATATAATAATAGAGGGATATGCAAATTGTCCAGGATGCTGTAATATCACAATGCTCAGCAGGCAGTATGCACAGCAGGTGGGGGTGGGCAGGACCTTGCAGCATCAGAGACAGGGTTAAGGTCGCAGCGGGGGTTAGGCACGCATGTGCAGAGGTGGTAAGGAGTGAGGGGTCCTGAACTGCAAGAGGGATGTCTGTCTGCCAACAGGTGGACATCCCCCGAGGGGTCCCAGATTGGGAGAGAGCTCAGGCCTGGCTGAGACACACACACACACACACACACACACACACACACACACACACCACAGTGCATGATTTTTGTGCACTGGGCCTCTAGTATAAAGGTATTTTTTATGAGGAAATGCTAGATAGCTCTAAGTCAGCACTTTAGCTTAATATTTCATTTGTATGCTATAAACATTCTTAGCATTTTTTTAATGAGAAAAGGAATAGTCTCTTCTATTTTCATTTTTTTTTTTGCCTTTCCTTTTCATGTCTCTATTTACAAATCCTAGTTCCTTTTCATAATTAGCTAATTAGCATTAATAACAATTTAGTACTCCAAAATGTCTTAATTAGTCCACCTTTTTCATGAATCATCAAAGAGTGAATAGCTAACATTCATCATGTGGGACTCTGGGCTAAATGTTTTATATGGATTGATTTAATTCTCACAGGAACCTTAGGAAATAGATCAGTGTTTTTCAAACTTTTTTTTGTCTGTAACACATGCAAATGCATTTCACATTATGATCCAGTAACAAACATCTTTATAAATAACAAACAAAAGTATCATTAATTAATCATCAATTAATACTAACACTGCTCTATACTATTTTTAAATGTTGGTTTCAATCCACTAAACAATTCACAACACACTAGCAGATTTCGGCTCTAAAGAAAAATACTAAGATGTGGTACTATATTGTCTCCATTTTACAGATGAGAAAGCTGAAAGATTAAGTAACCTATCCACGTGTCACAGCTGCTGAGTGGCAGAGCTGGGATTTGAACTAGGAGCTTGGGCTCTTACACAGTTTACTAATTTCCAGAGTAAATTGTATTGCTATGTATATCACAGCAGTCTTACTTCTGTGCAGGGATAAAAATATTTGTAAAACAAGTACTACCCCTCAACTGTCCTCTACCTGCCAACAGAAGTGTATTTGCTCAGCGGAAGACAGGTGACCTTGAATATTTGGGAGTGGGGAACGAGGACCTTCTGGATTTTATAGGAGACTTTGAGAATGTGGGAGATAGGGCAGAAATTTCTAATTGGAATTTTTTTTATTAAGTAATTTTGTGTGTCTTTGAGGGAAAAACTCTCTTTTATCTCATTTCAAAATTCTCAGTAAAATTACTAACTCATTGATATTTGAAATGTGTATTTGATTTTGGAGATTTATGTCCAGGCTTAAGTCAAGGCTGAAGTCAGATTTGAACAGGAGCCAGCCACATCTAGATATCACTTTAGTCCAGAAGTGCTGTGTATGTAGTAAACATTTATTTATTCAGTGTCTGTTGTATTCAGGGCACTGTCCTGGCACACAGAGCACCTCATAGGTCTCTGCTGTGGGCAGAAGCTTGAGTTGTAGCCTGGAAAGCTCATTGGTATTCTTCTAGATGTGAAGCCTCATGCAGGCCGATACATTGTGTGAAATATCCACCACTGTATCCTGTATCTAGCACAACACTTGACACAATGATAGACACTCAGTATTAGCTTACTGAATATTGACTAATAGCCTGATAACTCCTGTAGTATTTAAGAACTCAGGTCAGAGAGCCAGGTTATTCCCATCTGTGTGTAAAGCATAAATAAAAATATAATAGTTATTTGGAGATACTGCCTGTCAAGTGATATCAGTGAGCATAGTCCACTATGATTACTGAAGTCAGTTTCCTTTGCCATATGATTTACTTCTGAAAATGTTGTCTAGCCATCTGTAACACCCATTTCCTTTCCCACTGTCTAACATTTCAGTATGTAATTCCTTAGCCCTAGGGAAGTAAAAGGGGACAGTTCATCTCCTTTCATTCTTCTAAACCATTAGACACCTCCGAGCCCCTGTGATTTGAAAGAAACCCTTTGCCTACCTGAGATGGACCAGTCCCTCTCTGCCTGTTAGAGAAGTCTGGGCCAGCATGCCAGCTCATACTTACTGCAAGCCCAAGTGTAGGCATCTAGTATTATGTATCAGGAGGAAGCAGAGAAAGGCTCAGAGGCAAATAGGCAATCCAAGCAGAAAATGGATTTAAGATTAGAGACTGGAGGGGGAGGGAAGGCCGGATAAATATCGTGTATTTGGTGATGGGGAGCAGGAGAGGAGATATTATGTGGAGCAAATACTCACTTGCCTATATTTCAAATATTCATGGAGCAAATACTCATTTGCCTAAATTTACTTACACCTGTGTAAGTAAGCATTGTGCAAATATTTCATTGGTTACCAGGTGGCAATATAATCAGTTACGATCTATGTGGACCATATTATGAGCAATATGCACTCTGCACTCTAATTGAATGAGTAATAATTACTTTGCATTCATAATATGGGGCCAGGTAATTGATGCACTTGCTAGGTTTATAATCCCTATTTCACTTTGTTTGTTTTCCTTTTTAAAGGATGTTTTCTTTGCTGTACATACTCTTAATAAGGGAGAAGGTATGTCTCCCCCTCCTGGCTATGACTGGTAGAACCTAAAAATTTAGGTTATTTGCATATATTTTTTAATGTAGCTACATAGAATTCATTTATCTCAACTTTCAACTTTTAACTTCCCTGCCTATAGCCTCCCTAAGCAGCCTTTTGATTACACCGTTCCCATCTCCGAGCTCCTCTACGTCCTCTTCTAGCAGCTACCAGCGCCGCTGGCTTCGAAGTCAGACAACAAGTTTGGAAAACGGCATCATTCCAAGGAGGTGAGCTGCAAGTGTCCTCTTACTGAGAAGGGATTGGTGTAGGCAGCTTGGTGGGACTGGCAGGACACTGAACTCACCTATTGTCAAGGGAACAAGAGAGCTGATACTTTCTGATGGGCTTCAGTTTAGCCTGAGAGTTTACAAGTTAGAAGTTTTTTGGAATAAAAAGAACAACAACAACAACAACAACAAAAATCTCCTGTTTAGAAAACACTGGGAAATATCTAGATGGTTGTGTCATGTATAAACTTCGTATTTTGTTCATTTAAAATGAGTATGCTCTATGTTTTCATTGGCTTCCTTCCAAATGTAGCTCTTGTACGTTAGGAGGGTGGAATAAATCTCTTCCTTGAATTATGGTGACACCAGTGTGAAAATAAATGAACTCAAAGATTGTGACATACTCTCTCTATAAAACTTAAATTCTTAAACTAAGCAGTCATGAATTAGATTATGAATAGAGGTGACATCAATCTATTTTCTGCCTTCATTTCAGTTGATTTTTATTATTTTTTAGTTACCAGTGAACATTCAGTATTGTTTTACACTAGAGGCCCGGTGCATGAAATTTGTAAACAGGGCCGAGTGGGGTCCCTCAGCCCAGCCTGCACCCTCTCCAGTCTGGGACCCCTTGAGGGATGTCCAACTGCCTGTTTAGGCCCGGACCCAGTAGGATCATCCCTCTCACAATCCAGAACTGCTGGCTCCCAAGTGCTTGCCTGCCTGCCTTCCTGATTGCCCCTAAATGATTCTTCTGACCAGCCTGATCACACCCTAATCACTCCCCTGCCAGCCTGACTGATGCCTAACTGCTCCCCTGCCTCACCCTTTAGGTGCATAGGATGATGCGCTAACCAACTGAGCCTCAATCTTTACATTTACTTTCTGTTTCTATACCTGTGGATATTTCATTTATAATGTTGCAGCAGTTTTCAAAACCAGAAATTATGAACTCTTTGAAGAATTTTGATAACTTCCTGGTGTGCTACATTGTGGTGTCCACTCTAGGCTCTTACTTGGTGATTATTTACTATTCTGGGGCTCGGGACAGAGAGTTAAATATTTATGCAGAGTTCATGGGGATGGGACCCTGATGATGATAGACAAGCTGCCCTCCTACCATGGGTCACTGCCCTTCCTAAGTCCTTCCTCTCGCCCATGTTTGTGACCTCTGCTGCTCCTGCTGCTGCTGCTGCTGCAACCGTCACAGCCACCAAGCTAGGCCCAGGTCCCAGCCTTGCGACGTTGGGGCTTTGTGGCACCCTGTGCATGTGTGCCTGACCACCAGGCCAGTTACTCATTGTCTGGGTTACATGCCGTGGGGTTTGAGCCTACCACACACTCTGCAGTCTGGTATCTTTACTGCTCACACACATGCACCATTGTCCCATCAGACTTCACTTACAGACTCAGTAATAAAATCATTAAGAATCCAGGATAGCAACTGCAGAACATTAGACCAAACCTAATGTCCTTCTGAGAGCAGGCAGGGCTCCATGTGACCAGGATGCATGCCTGTGGAGCTGGCCTGGACCCAGTACTATTAATACTGGGCCTGTAAGTGCGGTAGATCTTTTGTACCGATCCTGTGAAGATCCTTTCATTTAAAGGATGTTGCAGTTGATTGCTCCCTTTGGCAGGTTGGTGGGTGGGAAAATTAGTGTCTTGTGCTAGAAAGAAGAACAGTGGGTACCAAAAATATGATTGTCTCTGGCTTTGAGAGAAAACTCCCAGTAGTCAAACCTTTCCTCCTAAGAGAGTTAAAGATAGTCAGTGAGGATATTCACAATCCTTAACTGGTAGTTCAGTATAAGTTCAAAGCTGACATAAACAATTACACTAAGCAATCTTGATATCTAGTAGAGATCACTGAGATGCACTTAAATAATCACGGTTTGGCATTGTTTATGAGCTTGAAGTACTCAGAGTGTTTGTAAATACTTATATATGTCAACAGAATTCTTTTGAGTTTTTTATAAGGAGAAAAATGAAGTGGGTAGCAGTAATCTTTGCTTGACCCAAAATTCTAATGTCTGATGTGATTACTCCCAGTTTTTTCCCTCAGAGCTCCTTGGCATGATGCATCTGATGGCACGAACACCAGCAGATGGATCAGATTGGGGTGGAGTCCCTGGTCATTTCCAGTGTCCAAAAAATGAATCTAAACTAGAAGACAGAAACCCTGGATTCTAATCTAGTATTGTCACTAAGAGGTTTTCTGTTCCTAAATCAAGTTGATTAATCACTTTGCCTCAGTTTCCACATTAGCAGAAATGGTCTATGGTACCTCACCTGTAGGTGACTGAGGGCAAAGATAAGATAAATTATTTGGGCACATACCTGAATTTTAAAAAACATTCAGAAACATCTTTTCTTTGTGGGATAATTTAAAAAATATAATTATAATGCCACATAACCTGATTTATTCCTGTTTGGTTGATCCAAGACTACAGAATGAAGCTCAGTTGCTTTAGAATTTGGTGTAGAGATATGTCAAGCAAGTAAGACCTACCCCACACTGATAGCTATGAAAGTTTCTCAGAAATTCAGTAGGGGGCGCTCTCTGCTATGTTGAAGTGGAATAGTTATTGTTTACATGGTAAAGATGAAGACTGCATACATCTGCATAGGGTGCAGTGTTCATTGCAGTTTGATTATTAAGACCACATTGGCTGAAGATGAACGGACTGCTGTGGTCATTTTGCTTTTGAATAAGAAGGGAAATAGGAGATTGACAAAAAGGGTTGCAAGAAAATATTGGTATCAAACAAGCTCAGAATTTTCTGTTCAGAGTAGAAATAAACTGATGCAGGGAAACAAATTATTGTACAGGTACTTTTGAAAAGAAGGAGCGTTGTATGAAATTAAGTAAAATTCTAAGAGCCTCAAGAATTTTTTTCTGGTAAGCAGATGATTAGGATCTAGGAGTTTCTCAGAGAAAACAGGTGATGGTTTAACATAATGCGTCACATTTACAACAGCCTCTGGAGACCATGTCCTTACAGAGACATGTCTGTTAGTGAGAACCTTTACTGACTTATTGACCACACCCACATCTCTGGGATCCTGCGTGAAGTCGAGAGAAACAATAGCCTATCTCTCCGAGGTTAGAACAAAATATCTATCTCCTTTCCTTTAAAAATAAAGTAGCGTTCCTGACCATACAACTTTATATGTATGTGTGTTCTTTAAAATGTGGGTATGCTTGAAATCACATGCACATTATAGATTGAGTAGAGCACAAAATGAGAATTTAAAGACCAAGAGTAGGAGGCTAACTGCCTCAGTCCTGCAAAGCATAATTGTTGTGTTGTAATCTGTAGTAAAGAAAAAGGAGGAAATGGTATCCTTCCATATTTGGCAGAAATACGAGTCTAAATGGTGGAGTCAGTGAGTAAGAGAAAACTTATTGCACAATTACCTTGTGCCAGGCTAGGGGCTTTCCTTTGCAATGTTATGTCATTGGCTTTGATTTCTTTGTAGATAAAACAAATAAACTTTTTTTCTCTCTCTTGCTGATCATAGCTATTTGGCAGTTATGCTGGTTTTCCAGAATAGTTAAATAAGAGACATGGTTGGCCCATATTTGAATATATATTCAGGACTTATTGGCTACATGATTCTCTTGTCATAGAAGCAGAGTCTCTCAAAAGATGTTAAGTTTTTGAGAACCTGAAGAAAGGTGGATCTTTCTGTTTGGGGATTTCCGAGGGAGCTAAGTCAGCCACAGAGCTCAATCGAGCATTTACAGGAGTAACTTCATCTAATTCGAACAGCCTGGAAAGTGAGCCTCCACTACCAGCAAATATCCAAATATGACCCTTGGATACATAGAATCCCACATGGGATCATTTCTCTTCCCACACTCTTACCTATTGATGCCTGTCAACCAAAACAAAGGGCCCATGTTTTGAGAGAACAGACATTTCACACCCCTTCCTAAATACCACCACTGTGATGCAGAGTCCAGGAGAAAAGTACTAAGGATCTAGCAAGAGGGCATTTGAAATTATTTTCAGTTTATTTTCATGTTCAAATAGTATTAGGTTGTAAGCTATATTTTCATGACAGAGAATTACAAAAGAGAATGAATTAGAGGTAGATCAACTCCTGGTTAAGACTCTGAGTGTTCTGGATTAGCCACCTGAATGTCATCCTCCGACATCAGAGTTTATCTTGAGTCTGAAACACTGATGCGACTCATCAAACTTCCTTTCCTGCAGGTCAACTGATGAGACCTTCAGCTTGGCTGAGGAAACCTGCAGCTCTAACCCGGCCGTCGTGCGGAGGAAGAAAATCGCCATAAGCATCCTCTTTTCCCTGTGTGAGAAAGAGGAGGCCCGAAGGGATTTCCAGGACTTCTTTTTTTCTCACTTCCCCCTGTTCGAGTCTCACGTGGACAGGCTGAAGAGTGCAATTGAAAAGGTGATGAGAATGTAATCTTACTCAGATAGAGAAGGGATTATGAGTCTTTAAAGACTCTTTCTCAGATATCAGATCACTTTCCTAGAGAATGTAAATCATTGATATTAGACATCAGATAACGCATGGCTTTAGGAGAGGAAATGCCTGCTTCCTGATGACTTCAGGCATCACTACCTTGAGTGTTTTGATTGATATCTTTTATTAATAAAGCCTAGTAAGTAGTTATACAGGGTTTTCTTTGCCAGAGACTAATCTGGTGTGTTTCTCTTCAATGAAGGCCATGATCTCCTGTAGGAAGATAGCAGAATCAAGTCTCCGCGTCCAGTTTTATGTCAGCCGTCTGATGGAAGCTCTGGGAGAATTCAGGTAAATTCAGTTTGCCATTCTAACAAATTTGGGAGTAGCAGCGGCAGCCATGGATGTAGGGAGAAGTACTGTAGAGACCATGACTTGGAAGAATTGGGAGCTGGCAGTTTTTAGTCACTTTTAGTAGCTCCTTTAAAATGGAAATTAAGGTCAAAGGAGCAAAAAATTTAAGTTGCCCAGCACCAAATAATCCTTACTACTGCCTGACAGACAGTCTTTGATGTTGTTTATTAATAGGGTGAATGGATAAAACTAATATTCCTGTGTCTCTTTTAAGCCTGTTCCTTATTTCATGTCATTCTCACAAAAGCCCTAACAGTAGGCACTATTACCCTATTTTACAGATGTGGAAATTTGAGTTCAAGGATCTTGTCCAAAGCATGGATGGAGAGGGTATCTATGTTAGTTAGGGTATCATTCTCACTGGCCAGGCTAGGCCTGGTTTATACCCAGTCCTCCCACATGTCTAGTGTAGGCATGAAAGTATATGGTTATATTATAGTGCGCTTTCATTGTTAGTTTCTAATTGATGATCTTTGTACTCTGAACACTAATTTTCTAGAGTCCTTGTCCCTAATGTCTGGGTGGAAAGGTAACCTGTTTTGGATAGCGTGAGGGATTCTGCTGAGTTGGGATTGTCACACCGTTTCTTAGAGCCAACTTCTCGGTGGGGAATGACATCCCATTCTAAGGCAGTAAGGAGTTAATGAATCAATATTGCTCTGTAGCTGAGGGACAAAGAAGTTTACAGTTCTTATTGTTGGAAGATTTTTTGTGATACTCAAGGTATATGCTTGTGGACCCTATACTCCTTAGAGCAAAATTCTAGTCTTTTTTAAGTCCTGGGTTATGTATAAAGTACTTAAGTCATGTTAGTCATTATCTGGTGATTGTTAAGACCTAGCCACCGATGTCAGAAATAGGTAGTGTGAAGTTGTGCTTTTTGCTGGCAGTCTGATGATAAGTAAACCTATTGTTTACGAGGATAGATCTGAAGTTGATTGTTGCTCTGCTGTGGTTGCAAGAAGCTGGCCTGTGCTTGAGAGTCTGGCTGCTAGTTTAATGAGAGGATCAATTTTTTCAGAGGTCAAGAATGTGAAAGTATAGAACCAGAAAGTTTCACTTACAATGTCCATAGAGAGGTCTTGTTCTTACTTGAACAGCCTATCCCTCCAGAAATGGGGACAAAATAATGTGTTAGTACTTGGAGACCGTAGGTTTAGTAAATGAATCCCAGTTCCACATGACAGTAACTTGTCATTGCTACCTAACTTGGCAAATGCTGTTTTTTTGCCAAGGTGGAATTCTGTTGTGTTTCAATTCTTTTATGCACACAGCCAAGAAAATCAAGCCAGAATATGTTGTAGCTATTTTGATTTGGGAAGAATGGCTGTGCTTTGCAGCTAATCAACTTTGCCATTGTGCAAAAGCTGCAATATGTAAATGAATATACAGATGGTCTAATTAGCATATTAGCTCTTTATTATATAGGATTATTCAAAATAACATTTGTGAGTTTTGTATTTTCCAGCATGTAAAAGCTGCTCAGATCAAACCCAGTGTCCATGAACAGGTGATTTAACATCTCTGACTCAGTCTCTTCATCTGTAAAAGAGGGCAAAAATAGTTGCTGATTGCTATGGGAATTCAGTTAGTTATATACAAAGCACTTCTGTTACTGCTGAAAATAACTGTGTTCCAATCAAACTTTATTTACAAAAAAGGAGACAGTCAGATTTGGCCTGTGGGTCATAATTTGATGACCCTGATTTTATATTCTGCATGAGTCCCTTGAGTCCTACATAGATTCAGATTATTGTTATGTCCTTTATTCCTTTATATAAAGACTAGAGGCCCAATGCACGGAATTCGTGCAAGAGGCTTGGCCCTCGAAGCCCCGGCCAGCCCTCACAGCACCTCGCAGACCTGGCTGGCCTTCACAGCCCCGGCTTCATCTGGAAGGTCATCCTGACGGTCTAATTAGCATATTAGCTCTTTATTATGTAGGATTATTCAGAATAATATTTGTGACAGTTTTGTATATCCCTTCTCTTTTCATAGAGGGACTATCTGGAACTTATATTCTGTTCCAAGGATAGCGGAACCTGTATGGCTCACCATGATGTCCAGCACTTTGGAAAAAACCCAGCTCTGCCAGCGTTTTCTCAAGGAGTTCACGCTCCTGATTGAACAGATCAACAAAAACCAGTAAGCTTCAGCTCTCTGGCATGTGATATGCATATTCTGTGCCCAATGCATGTTCTGTAGATGCCGTGCCTCCTCCTGCGTTGATTCATCTGGCTGTGTGTTCTTCTGTTTCTCGAAGGTTTTTTGCTGCCTTACTGACTGCAGTGTTAACCTACCACCTGGCCTGGGTACCAACTGTCATGCCTGTTGATCACCCTCCCATTAAAGCCTTCTCAGAGAAACGCACCTCTCAGTCGGTGAACACGCTGGCCAAAACACATCCCTATAATCCTCTGTGGGCACAGCTGGGTGAGTACCTGATTTGGTTATTCAGAGACTATATGGGACAGAATAGGGAAAATGCTAGAATTTTTATTGATATTAACTCCAGTGATACAGGAAATAGGAGACTGACCCACAGATTTCTAATTGTGATGCTACCAGCTCCCTCACCCTTCCCTGCTGGCAGCTTTGTTCTACTCTTTTAAAGATCTGTCGGTGATTTTGTTCTCCCAGAACACACAGCAAATCACCCTAGAGCACGGTCTCTTAACCTTGGCATTATGGGCCTTCGGACCACATAATTCTTTGTTAGGGGTGGAGGAGCTCTGTGGTGTATTGTAGGAGGTTTAGAAGCATCACTAACTTTTGTTCATTAGCTGCCAGTGAAAAACCCCCTTCCCTTCCAAAGTTGTGATAATAAACAATTTCTCCAGACATTGCTGAGTGTCCCCTGGGGTATCGGGGAGAAGACAGCCCCTGGCCGAGAACCACTGCCCCAGAAGATGGACTGGATAGGAGAAAAATAAGACAAAAAAGAAAGTAGTACATATAGTTGTACCATCTTTTAAATTTCAGCATAAGTCAGAAACCTTATCTTTTCCTACACTGCGTCCTTGAATTAGTTGGTGGCATTATTTCCTCAAAGCTTAGTGCTGACGCATGGTATAAGAAATCTTAATGCTCTGGCAGAGTTGGGTACAGAGTTTGGGACTTATGAGACCAATTTTGCATATTTTGGATTCATATGGAGGAGAGCTATACTATAGAACCGCTCGTTTATCAAACGTAGAGAGTGACAAGTAAAATTTGCAACTCTCTCTCTCAGACCCTGTGCTAGATGCCAGAGATATGGGGCTGAATAACATGCTCTGCTTAGCCTCTAGCTGTCTAACTGAGGAGGCAGATTTGTATTCAGATGATTTCAGGATGCTCTGAGTAGTCCTTGATTGGGGGTGTGCAGAAAGGATGCAAGAGAGAAACTGTGAAGTGTACTAGTAAAGGCTAAGAGCATGAGTGCTGAGCCAGAACTGCTTAGCTCAAACCCAGTGTCCGTGGGCAGGTGACTTAAACTCTCTGACTTAGTCTCTTAATCTGTAAAACAGGGCAAAATAGTTGCTAATTGCTGTGGGAATTCAATTAGTTATATATAAAGCTCCTTCGTTACCACTGAAAATAATATTGGAAGTCTTAGAAAACAACATGTGATAATAACAATGATGAGAGTTGTCACTGTGAGCCAAGCACTGTTTTAAGTGCTTTTTACACATATTATTATTTAGATTCTCATTCAAATCTATTACTATTGCCCTCACTTTATAGGTAATAAAGATGTCTTGCTCTTGTGCCATGGATCATGAGATGTGAATACCTATCTCACCGTTAGGGAGATAATAGGTGCATATTAAATGAATTAATAAAAAATTTATTAATTCATAAAGAATTTAGGGATGTTAAAATGGATTTAATACAAGCAATCAGTACTGAGTTCACAAAAGTATTCGGAGTGTGCCTAACTCATTCTGGGTCATCTGATTATTCCTGGGGAAGGCAGAGCATTATTTACTGTTCTTGTTACTGAAGAAAGGTAGTATTATCAACTGGTCACTATGAAGAGAAGAGGGCTGGATGTTAAGGAAACATGATTACATATTGCCAAGTCACCCATTTAAAAACAATGCTAATTAAGTAGTATGCATCTAATTAGATAAATGTATTTATAATTAGACATGCTTCTCATTTGAAATTTAATTAATTGTGAGCCATTAATTCCCTTTGTTCAACTTAACAAGGCAAAGTCCCTTCCTGTGTGCTCACAGTCCTTTCCGAGGAGATCGTGTATAATTGCACCTCCCATGCTCCCTTCCCCCTAACAGTGCAGCAGTGTCTGGCTGTTGACAGAATGGTGTAAGGAAGGCATAAGGCCCTGGTGCAGAGTCACGCCATAGCTTTATAAAGTCAAGTGTAAATAATGGTTAGGTTTCTATTATAAAAAATCAAGAGGCTTTAATAATTTGATAGGGAAAGATGCTTATTTCTAATTATTATTATGTTTTCATTGACTGTTTACCAAATCACAGAAAACAGGAAAATATAAATTGCCTGAAATAAACACTGATGCAGGTATAATTTTAATCCAGGTTCTAAATAATAGAGAAGATTCTATCTTGAATTATTTTAAAGGCATATCTGAGAGCTTAGCAGGACAGGTACTGTTATTAGTCAAAGTGGAAGAATTCCACGAGTCAATATTCTTCCCAGGGTAGGTTCCATCTGGGTTGCCATATCATACCAGTGTTAAAGGGATTTGCCATGAGAAAAGAATTTCCTGAGGCCCCCATGGGAGGTGGGGTGTTGTGGAAAGCTGTATTGATGATGTAAGATTAAGGGAGTTCTCCTCTAAGTTCCCATCTTCATCCATCTCACCATGGAAGAAGTCTAATTTTTTCTTTAGCAGGGCCACAATTAATGTCACTACCCAGAATTTCTGCTGCATATAAAAGTCTCCTTGTCTCCCTTTTAATTTTCTTAGTTTCTCCTTGTCTGATTCTGTTTCTCCATCTCCCATGTCCCCCACCTCTTCCACCCTCTGTTTTCTCACCCCATTGGTCCCCTCTCTGTTCCTCTTCCCTATAAGCTAGCATCTGGCTAGCTTATTTTGTGTTCTCAGGACCCCATTATGTGTGGGGTCCGCATGACCACGGACCATGTGACTGCTTAAGACCACATGGCTATGGAGAGAGAGCAGGCGAGCAAGAACAAGGGAGTGGGAACTCTTTGGGGATTTTAACTTTTCATGATTTTGCATGCTTTTGATGGGGTCCACGTTCTAGCCAATCCATTGTTCCTCTGGTTAGACTGATAGGCAAGAACCTTTCCCGTGGTCGCCCCAACTTCACTGTGCATGTGCCCATCTCCCCCTTTGTTGGAGCCCTCCCTCCAGCGATCTGCAGGAAATGGATCCTTGGTTCCCTGGGGAGCAGGAAGCAATAGCTTCCTGGTGAAGCTGCCCAGGTGACCATGCTTATAATGACTAGCCTCACTTTGCCCTCTTTCTATGGCTAATATTAACTAGTTCATTACAACAGTAGCAGTACCACTGCTATTCCCTCTTCTGCCTGGTTTCTCAGCATTCCCTGGGAGATGAGGAGAGAAGCTGGAAGCAACAAGCCCTTCACATTCTCCTGGGTTTGCTGCTCAGGGGCTTAACCTTCCCCCTTTTGTCTCCCACATGCTCTTGGCATACAGGTTTTCCAGGTGTGGCTAACTACCCGATAGTGGGTGTGCAAGCTGCTTAGTAGGTCAAAAGAGCATTTAAAAAGTACAATAGAATAGAAATATCAGGGTGACGCATGTGTTTTGTAAATTCAAAGGGAGTGTGAGGTTGCAGTCTAAATGCATTTCTTTCTTGGGATGGGTATACTAAGTTGGAAAGCCACCGTCTTTCATCACTGATTGAAGAAATTTCATGTGGATCTTTTTTATTTATTTATTCATTTTTAATCTAATGACCTCAGTGATTTGTGGAAAGCCAAACAATACTTTGCAAGAGAAATTAGTTTGAGCTAAATGATACTAAAGGTGCAATAAGTTACAATGCTTAGCATTAGGGTAACACTATTTAAGGGGGACTTCATAGCATATACACATTTATTACAATGTAATCAATGAATAAGGGTCCCTTTAAGATAATTAGTTTCTCTCCTTGTCTCCCTTTTAATTTTCTCAGTTTCTCCTTGTCTGATTCTGTTTCTCCATCTCCCATGTCCCCCACCTCTTCCACCCTCTATTTTCTCACCCCTTTGTAATGCTGCTGAATTTCCTCAGCTTTTCACCTCATTCTCTTCCCCTCTTTTATTCCATCCCTTCTCGTTCTACTTTCTGTTTCTATCTTTTAGTTTCCCTTGGTATCTCCTTTCCCTCTCCCTCGTGTTTTCCTATGTATGCTTTACGCTCTCTGCTTTCCTCACCACTGAGCTTTTCTCCAAACTCCACCATTTTGTTCCTCTCCACTCCCCATCTCTTTTCTCTTTGCTTTCCTCTCCTTACCCTCTGTCTATTCTTCTCTTCTTTCCATTGGTCCCCTCTCTGTTCCTCTCCTCACTATCTCCCCTCTCTAGTGTCCATTCTCTGAGTCCCCCTGTTTGTCTATTTCCCTATTTGTCCTTTCCCTGATCTCTCCTCTCAATCTGTCTGCACCCCTCCCTGCTTCATTCTCTCTCTGTCTCTGCCCTCTCTCTTCACCCTCCCCCATTTTTTGTGTGCTTTTCCCATTTTCTCTCTCTTTCTTAATTTTAAGTTTGCATTTTACATAAAATTGTGCTTAACAAAGAAGTACAGAACATAACATTTATCATCTTAACCATTTCTAAGTGTACAGTTCAGTGATGTTAAGTCTATCGTCATGATTATGCAACTCGTCTTCATTTTGAAAAATTATACTCAGGAGAACAAAGGAATCTACTCTAAAATTAGTAGCTTTTTCAGTCTGGACTCAAAAATTGCCTTAGAGTACAAGCCCTGCTAGGTTGGGGGTGCGGCCTGAGGTGTCAAGCTCTGTTAGGCAGGTGGGGGACACAGCTTCAGGTCCCCCACCCTGGCCCAGCACCACACAGCCTTGTTATGACTCGTTACATAATCTTAAAAATATTCTGAATAAAGTTACATACTCGTTGGGAATCCCTCCTTCACTGTGAGCGCAGCCATCTTGTGTTACGGGAACCCAGCCTCTGCTGTGTGCAGTGCCATCTTGTGACAGCATTACAGTGTGAGGGTCAGTTTGCATATCGCTTCTTTATTATATAGGACTAGTGACCTGTCACGTGAAATTGTGTGAGACCCAGGACCCCTCCCCTCGCCTCCTACCCCTTGCTTTACGGGACCACTCCGAGTCCTGGAGTCCCTCCCCGCATGGCCGGCATGCTATGAGATGGCCCCAAGTCCTTGAGTGCTGCCCCAGTGCCCTGCCTCCACGCCATGCAGAGTGGCCGCTGGGCCCCAGGGGATGCGCACACAGGGCCACAGAAACCCTGGTAGAAGCCATGCAAAGCAGCCACCGGGACCCTCATGCCCCAACAGGGCCACTGGAACCCCGGTGGCTCCCTGTGCACATCACCATCTTGTGATGGTGTTATGGTGTGAGGGGCAATTTGCATATCACTTCTTTATTATATATAGAATTATCTTATCTCTCTTTTATTTAGAATATTTTTAAGATTTGATTTATTAGAAAATTTTGATTATTCCCATAATAGTTTCTAATACAGGATTGGTTCTGTAGAGGTATAATGAGATAAACCCATGTCAAACATTTGGCACTATGTCTGCACAGTCTGTAAATGTTGGCTTTTTGTTGTAATTTTCATCATTATTATCAAAATATCTATTATGTAACTTATCAAATGCAATAATTTTAATAGGCACTTGACCAATACTTTTATTTTTTTAATCCTCATGCAAGGATATGTTTTTATTGATTTGAGAGAGAGAGGAAGAGGGAGATGGAGAAGGAGAGGGAGAGAGAGAGAGAGAGGTCGATCTGTTTCCTCCCATAGACACTCTGCCTGGGATTGTAATTGCAATCTAGGTATATGCCCTGTCTGGGAATCAAACCTGCAACCTTTTGGTGTATGTGATGAAGCTGTAACCAACTGAGCCACCTAGCTAGGGCTTAACCAATATTTTTTTTATGAAAAGTTTATATTGTTGGGCTTATTTACACATTTGCCCTTCTTCTACCTTTAAACCAAATGTCTGTGGTTCATTAGCCAGTTTTTAATCAACTTATTAGGTTATAACTTATGGGACATATTTTTTCCAGCAGAATTTTCATGTGAAGTAATAGAAATATTCAGCTTCGTTCATATTCAAAATCATATTATTCGTGACTAAGTGATTTTCTTCTTGTTAATCAAATTGATTCTACTTGTTGCATATGTGTCTATTAAAAGAAGTCTGAACAGGCCATTCATTAAGTATTTTTAATTGATTCACTGCACTTCAGAGATCCTTGAATTTGGATTTCATTCCAGGCCTATTGTCCGAGGGTTCTTCTTAAAAAGTCTCTTCATTCTAGTTTCCAAGATGCAGTATTTGACTTGGTCACATATTCAGGGCTCTTTATTCTCCCTTAAAAGGTGGAGTTGGCCAGCCAGTGAGCTGAGTAGGCAGATCTATAAAGGCTGTATAGACCAGTGCTGACCCTTTACAACAAGAGCAGCGTGCTGCAGCCATGCTCCGCCTTTTCAGACCGGCTCTCCACTATAGACAGCCGTTACTAGGCATTACTTACTTCCCTCAATCAGTTGTGTGAAGAAGCTATTTTTATTTGGGTCTGTAAGTCATTTGCTTTTCTCTTGTAAAAGTCGACGTATCCAGGGTACGCTCACCCCTGACGTCCGCTTTGCTCTGCAGGTGATCTCTACGGAGCCATCGGCTCTCCGGTGAGGCTGACGCGCACCGTGGTGGTGGGGAAGCAGAAGGATTTGGTCCAGCGTATACTTTACGTCCTGACCTACTTTCTCCGCTGCTCTGAGCTGCAAGAGAACCATCTGACCTGGCATGGGAATCACGGAGAAGGGGACCAGCTGTTCAATGGGAGCAACATCACAACAGCCTTGGAGAGGGGAGAGGTGGAGGAGTCTGAGTACGTGGTGGTCACGGTGAGAAGTGAGCCTGCTCTCCTGCCCCCCATCCTGCCCGCAGCACTGACTGCTGAGGGAAGGAGCCCTGGACCTGAGGGCCTGGCTGGGACCCCAGAGGACAAGGACATCAGAGACCTTTGTCCCCAACCTGACACAGAAGGAAACAAGAGTTCTGTGGCCTGCGGCCCGGGCTACCAAGACCCAGCCCTGGGCAGTTCTTGGAGACCACAGGGCACATTTTGTGGGGAAGAAGAAAGTGAAAAAGAGGTCCCAGGAGATGGCTGCTCCAGGTTCTCCAGCTGGGAAGGTTTGGGGGCAGGACTGAAGGCCAGTGAGGAGTTGAAAGGGGAGATGCCTAAGAAACTACCACACCGGTCAGGGGCCTGTCCTTGCCCGTACAGACCTCCCCGTGAGAACCCTCCCTTAGAAAGGGTCACTTTCCAGATTGGGAGCTCCGTATCTCCAGAGTCTGACTTTGAAAGCCGCGCTCAAAAAATGGAGGAGCGGCTCAAGGCCTGCAGGCAACATCCAGAGTCAGCAGGTTGTCCCTTGGTGGAGCCCAGGGTGGCCGCTGACGTGGCTGAGGGCCAGCAGGATTCTAGGTGCTCCTTCCTGCCTGGCTTCCGGCGGAGTGTCTGCTGTCCTCAGAATCAGCCATCCGAGGGGGAGGAAGGTGACTTTGACAGGACTTACGCTGCGGACAGAGGCTTCAGCACTGAGGCTGCGACAGATGCTGCCGGGCACCTTGACCCCCCTGCCGACTCGTCTGCCCCTGATGCCAGTGCGGCAGGGACTGGGCGGAGGAGCCTGGAGAACATGAAAGGGTTTACTTGGAAGCCTGGGGAGGGACCTTTGATAGAGCCTGTGTCTGGCAAGCGTACACAGCAGGACTCCCGCGTCTCCGTCACTACCGATGTCCCCTGTGGGGATGCCAACGGGGCGGCCGACCTCAGGACTGAAGGAGACATTCCCAGAAACGAAAGCTCGGACAGCGCTCTTGGAGACAGTGATGACGAAGCGTGTGCTTCAGCCACGCTGAATCTAGGTCACAGCAGCGACCCGGCTGAAGGGTCCTTGGAAGTGGAGCTGCCTCTGCCCAGGTAACGCTGGGCGGCTGGGACGCAAGGGAACTGGGTCCAAACACAGCCTTGACCACATTGGCTACTGTTGGCTCTCACACATAACTGTTGTCTTTCCCGAAGTGTTAGAAGTTTTATCAAACTGATGCAGTTTCCGGCCTGCCCTTCCTTCTGGGATGCCCATTGGCTGAGTGCATTGAGCTCTCTGAGCAAGGAGATGGGTGGCATGTGGGGGAGCCAGGGGACGTGATTGAGGGTGCGTGTGGGGCAGGGAGTGTGCTGTCCCACCATCTGGGACTCTGGATGGGGCTGCAAGGCAGGCAGCAGACGCCTTCCTTCAGAGGAGGCGGATGGCACTCACCGGGCAGCTTCTCTCTTGCGGGTTGGAGCAGTGTGAAGCGGCTGGGAAACAACACCTCTTCCTAACCCTCCAGCAGGCCGATGGTTTGGTCTTTGATGACTGAAAGCAGTGATTAGACCTTTTCTGTTCTGCTGCCCTGTTGTGGGCACCACCCTGTGCAGATGTGTCGAGTTTCTAAAGCCAGACAGCTGCCAGGCTTCCCCGTAGACTTTCTCTTTCTTCACTCCCTTGACACAGACTGCCTGGTGGATGTGCCTTGTGAGATACAGGAACAAACTCGTAACCAGCCATCAATATGCTGTGTTCTTCCATTAGAAACACACTACCATCAGAACAAACAAACAAACAAACAAAAACTCTCTTCACTTTTCCAACCCCTCCCTTCTCTGGCACCAGTGCTCTGTTCACTGGAAGACTGGTGAAATGACCCATCCTGAACCTGGCCTGTGTGGCTTGGGTTTTTGTTTCGATGTAACACAGAAGGGAGCCCATCTTTAATGTGCGTTCTAAAAGACCGATATTGTTTTAGGTCTCAAATCATCAGCAACCCGAATGTAAGGAACTTTGGCCGCTCCCTTCTGGCGGGTTACTGCCCCACGTACATGCCTGATCTGGTGCTCCACGGGACCAGCAGCGATGAGAGGCTGAGGCAGTGCCTGATGGCTGACCTGGTCCACGCGGTCCATGTAAGTGCTTGCTGCTTGGAGCCCTGGCTGCCGACGGTGTGTCCACCAGGCCCCTTCCCAGCCACAGGTGTTTAGACTGTTTCATACTGAAGAGTGTGTCGTGAAGGATTGTTGATAGAGATGTGGGCAGGGTGGGGGAAGCACCGGGGATTAGCAGCAGCTGGGCTGGGAGCGTCGGCCTGGAGGAGTAAGGGAGCGCACAGAGAGAGCAGAGCTGGCACTGGAGGAGGGACTCCCTGGCCACAGAGGCGCTGAGGGGGGTCGGGGCTCAGGCCTGACTGACATCGCTCCTCTCCAGCTTCTGAGCTCTGCTGCTTCCAGTGGCTGGGCCCAGCCGATGCAGACAGGCCTGCGAGCCACAGAGGTCTTCCTCGTGGGACCCACACGGGACAGAGAAGGGCAAAGAGTGCATTTGGGGGCGTGTGGGGGCTGTAGGCCAGGCTAACAGAATAAATAACACAGATGGTGACAATTCTATGCCCTCACAGGGAGGACGAAAGAGTGTCACATCTGGTTTGCTTTTTGGCTGATCCATACAAGTTCATCAAAGTAATTTATTTTAACTGATTTGTCATTGAGTTTACTCTGATGGCCGCAAGAGATGGCTGTGTAAAGACGAACACGTCACCCTGGAAAATTGCCCTGTGGCTGCCGCGAAGTGCTTCTCTGCTCTATGCAGCGTGACAGGGACTGAGCAGTGAAGGCAGCTGTGTCGGTCTGATGGGCCTGTTTTTCATTGAGCTGCTATTGGGCAGATGTGCAAAAATAGATGTTTTGCATTGGAAACATATTGTATCTTGTGCAATAGGGACAGTCCTCTATTATATTAAAGAAAGTAGAATTTGGCTTGTGGTCTACCTCCTCACCCATCATGTATTTTCTGGGAGGTGAAACAGAGGCACTGCATGTTATCTTTGGCCTTGAGCATTTCCTTTGTGAAGACTAAGCATGCATCAGGCTCAGGCTAGGCCGCTGAAGATTTGTGTGAAATGGGGAAAAAGCTCACTAGTGAAGCAGATGTCCTCCTAACCCCCCTAGATGGGATGGGAGAAGAGACGAGGAGGGGTGACCTAAAGCTGGAGGCCAGCCCAGGGACGCGTTAGACCCCAGCATTCCAACCCTGCTTTGTGGTCAGACACCACCCCTCTCCAGGGTGTTCCTGGAACAAAGCTGTATAAGGAATCTCAAATTTCGCTTCCATACTTGCAATGAACACTGTATACTTGTGCATCGTTTCACAGGTGCATATATCAGGGACCACAGGATAAGAACAGCGCTCTCATATGATGCCGTCTTCCTGGGTTGTCCTAAACCTGTGGTCGGCAAACTGCGGCTCTTTGGCCCCTTGACTGTGGCTCTTCCAAAAAATACCACAACCTAGGCAAATCTATTTTGAAGAAGTGGCATTAGAAGAAGTTTAAGTTTAAAAAATTTCTCTCTCAAAAGAAATTTCAATCTTTGTACTGTTGACATTTGGCTTTGTTGACTAATGAGTTTGCCAACCACTGTCCTAAACCATGTATTCTCAGTGACTCAGTCTCGCCTCCATTTGCAGCTGTCTATGGTGTTAAGGCGGGGAATCACCTCCTTTCCTTTTCTGTCAGCACCTTATGTTTATATCCATATATGCAAAACCTGTGGGGTTTTTCTTTCTGCTCCACTGGCCGTTTGATTTGTGAAAGCGTTGGTGTTGCTCAGTGGACCTTTCTTCCATGAAACCCCAGGTTCTAGTTCTGACAGAAGTGCCAAGAGATTGAGTGTGAACTAATGGGATTCTCTTCAGTGCAATTAATCTTGCTAGCTGGGAGGTGATACCCAGATGTCCCTGACTCACTCACCAACCCCTGTGGAAATATAACCTATTGATTGATAACTCTTCTTGAAATTACCTGCAAAACCATTGATGACATTTTTAGTATTTTTTATAGGCTGACAAGTTCTTGCTTTTGTGTATTAGGTTTTCGTGGTGACCATCTAGCTCTGTAATTTATATATTTGAAAAAATAAAACAATGGTTCCTCTATTTGTACTCTTAACGATTTTTCAGATATCATTTCCCCTTCCTTTTAGAAGTAGTATTTTCACACTAGCTTTTCTCATTTCTTTAGACTACACAATCACTCTGAGATACCAAAAGTTATTAAGCATAATAACCTATATTATGTCAAATTGTGGGTACATCCAAAGTGCAGCCAAGCATGAGTGTTAATGGGCAATTTTGAAAGGTTCATGAAAACATCTTCAGAAGTTTAATGCATTTAGAATGTATCCAATTAGCATTAGTGGATTTCTAATTTCACTTGGCACACTCATCATCATGAATTTTACTTTCGAAGTAGTGTTCCATTTAAATTGCCTCTCTGACTGCGACTCTGGTCTGTGGCAGTGTTTAAATTAAAAAAAAAAAAAAGCCTTACTATCAAATGCCATTTACAAATATTTGTTGAAAAATAAATTAAGAGGATTTTTAAAAACATATTGAATTTACTGCTTCATAAAGCCTAGTAATTATTTAAATTCTTGAGTAGATTGCCAGAGAAAGAAGCAAAGATTCAAGAACAAGTACATGACCAGAGTTAGAACAGAAATAATCACTTTGTGGGAAAGAGAAGATTAGGATAAATTGCTTTCAGAATCTATTTTTGGGTTTTAATCATTTTCAGTGTTCATGTGATTCTTCATTGGGCACTGCTCTTCATATTGTTTTTAGAGGATTTTTATTTAATTCATTCATATATTTTCTAGATATAGGCATGATTGAATTATAAAATCTTATCTTATGTGAATATGCATTTTTGTAACCAGGATGGATTAATTTGTGGAATTTCTTCCCTCATTGAAGAATTGCATTCTTGGGGTTCTAGTACTAAGCATTTCTCTTTGTACTTTTCCTTACTGTAGTCTCTTGTGAAAAAAATGCATATGAACTTTATTTTATGTATTTCCATTTTTATTACTGGCTTTAACGTGTTAAAAGGCGGTCTTTAAATATTTAAACACATGTTCTTGTTTAATCCATATACTACCTTTTTTCTGTCATTTGAACTGTTTCTCTGCCTCCTACCATATAGATTGTACAGCTGCCTTAAATTAGGCTAAAGTAATATTTAGTTTCCTTTTTCTGAGCTACATCTAAATGTGCATTCTTTCCTCTTGTTTTCCTTCTGACTTTACTAGTAAATGGTAAAGTGAAGAGAGGAGAGGCGGGGAGAGGCAGCTGTACCCTGTACCTGAACCTCAAGTAATTTTTCCTTTCGCTTTTTTCTCCTGTATGTTTGTCTGCCTGTGAATAGTGCTGATGGGGCGGTGTCAGGAGTATTAAGTTACGGGGCAGTGGAGGGTGTGGAGGAGCACTGACTTACCACAGATGGCTTAGGTTCCAGTCTCAGTATTACCACTCATTTTCTGGGAGTAGAGTAAATCAGTTGGCATGCTAAGCCTCGGAAAAATGTATTTAGAGGAACAGATGAAATATAACCCAGTGGTTAGGAATTGGACTCCAGAAGTCAGACAAACCTGAGTTAGAATCATGGCTCAACTCTTCTTGGCTTTGTGGTCTTGAGCAAGGTGCTTTGATTTTCTAAGCATTAGTTTTATCTCCCATAAAGTAAAGAGTATTTATAGGTCTGTTTTGGAGGCTGTAAGAGAAGGCACATCACGTGTTTAGCACAGTGCCTGGCACATTACTAAGTGCCCAATAAATGTTAGCTATTAAGATGATATATGTGAAAGTGTCTTGTAAATGAGTTTCCCAGGAAACTCCAATTGGAGAAGATAGACAGAACCCAAGCACATGCTCATTCAGTGCTAAAAGTGTCCGTGTTCCCTTTGCCTGTGACAGGACAAGGAACATGCCAGGTGGCTCACTGCAGAGTAGGATTGTCTAGATCAAAATTAGCATCACATTTTAATGCTTTAAAAAAAATACACTATGTTCCAGGCTTCAGGCATTTTATAGAATACACTGTAAAGCAAAGTAACAGTTGGCTATAGCAGCCTCTTTCATTTGATTTTAAGAGTAGCAACAGATTGACTCCAGAAATATCATGCGGAAATCAGTAGTACAGATAAGCAGCTTTGTTGTAAGCTTGGCTATGATATATGCTCATGAATACCTAATTAAACCACCCAGTGGAATCAGCCAGGAAGACTACAAAGTGATAAGTCATTACTTAAGTAACACAGAGAACACTAAGTGTCCCAGATCAACAATAGCCTTAAAATCAGTAGCAATGCAAAGGAAACAGCTATGCAGGACACACCTGCTATTTTAGAACATCTCTTGTTGCTTTTGTTTCCCTGGATAGTGAGCTTGATAATGCCTTGGGCCTATAGCACTGTCTTACTGTTTAGTGAAATCTGTGTGTGTGTGTGTGTGTGTGTGTGTGTGTGTGTGTGTGTGTGTGTGCGCGCGCGCAAATATATATACACATGTACTCATGGAAACATGGTCACACGTGTGTAAGCATGCACAGTGGGTTATGATGTTAAAAGGTATGTCTTATTGTGGATTGTGATTTAAAAAGTATTTGAAAAAAAATACTGATCTCTGAGTATGGCCAACTCCCATCTGACATGTTCGTGATTCTCTCATTGTGATTGCTGTCTTATTTAAGTTCCTCTTAACCTTCCCAACTAGTGGTGTTAGTGCCAATGTTCCCCCTTCCAATCATACTGCATGGTGCCATGGTGCCACAGGAGGGCTCTTTCTAATGATCACTCACTCTTCTGCTTTAATAGTTCCCTCTTTGTTTAGAGAGTAAAATGTAAACTCCTTGGCTGGAATGGTCCCTTTATGTCCTTCAAATACACAAATACACACACACACACACACACACACACCCCTTCACTACACACCTCAATCTTCTCGTTTGCTCCAGTCACACTGTTTGCCATCCTATAGTGCCCATCCACCTTCCACCTGTGCACCTTTGCTTCCTTTGCTTAAGGCCCTGTTGAACAAATTTCTGTTCATTTTTGGAGACTCAGTTTCTTTGAAA